CGCCGAGGGTTCGGATCCCATGTGGAGACCGGTTCCTGCTCACTGGCTGAGCGCGGCGCGGGAGCAACACCGAGGGTTGTGATCCCGTTGCCGGTCCCAACCGTTACCGGTCAGTAAAAAAGACAAAAAGGAAAAAAAAAAAGAAGGAAGGAAGAAATTAAATCTAATGGGCACTTTTCAGTTCTCATTTACTCGGTGCTTCAATAGGTTTTAGCATAGGAGCGATCCATTACACTTACTTCAGACTTCAAATATTTTAGGATGAGATTTGGAGGCTTTGTAACATTTTGATTTTAATCTTCTGTATGTTCTTTGGCTTTAGTGTAATGATCAAGTTATTGAAAAATCCTAGTGTTTTCTATTTAGATATAAAGATGATAATTGACAATATTTATTTAAAGATATATGTATATATATATCATTAGATCTAACAGTATAACCACTGGTAGTCATCCTCTAGTAATAAAGTCACCAATGCATAAAGCCACATGTACAATAATATTTATACCTATATTGTTTATAGAGGGGAAAATTGGAAAATAAATAGGATCTTACTATTCTTCCTAACTTCTAGCACCTTACTTCTTACTCTTTGGCTTTCATAGTTTCTCAAAAAGATTGTTTACGGCTTTTCTTATTCCTTATTTTTTGATTCTTCATTTCTGCTTTTAACCCCGCCCAAACACTACACTCTCAAAAGTGCTCTTATTGAGACATTCAATGGCATACAATGGGGACTTTTCAGATCTTCATTATTTGATGAATGCCCTAACACATTTAAACATTCCACTTTCCTTGAATATTCCAGAATCTTTACTAGAGATAACAGCTAGTTAAAAGGCTATAAGAAAAGAACACACTTAGAAGGTCCCCTAGGGAAAAATCAATACTGGTAAAGAATACTATCCTTCTCTTTGATGAACACAAAGACAGTCAGTGTGTGTGCTGAATGAATAGAAGAGTCATAGGATAACTGAGAGGTGGGAAGGGGATTGATAAGGTAGGGCCTGTCAATAGAGTAGGAGTTCTTAGTTTTAAGTTCAATAAGAAGCCACTAGAGGCTTACAAATAAGAAAAAAATACAACCTAACTTGTGAAACTTCTCTCTGTCTGACAAAGAATATATAGTAAAAAAGCAAAAGTGGAACTAGGTGACTACTAGAGATGTTTAGAATAATCAAAGCAAGAGACAATCTTTCCTGGACTAAGATGACAGTGAACATGGAAGAAACAGAAGGATTAGGGTTATATTCGAAGATAGAAGAGCAGAACTTGCTATTATATTGGAAATGGAGGGAGAGAAAAGGCAGANAGGGTAGAATCAAACATTCTCCTTCCAAAAGCTAAATTTGAGTTTCCCCTTGCATATAGAAGTAGAGATGCCAGATAGCAACTGAATACATGAATTTGGAGTTAAGAACAAAGAAAAGCTGTGCAGGTATATATTTGGGAATTATTAGTGTATAAATGTTATTTAAATCCATGGGCCTTAGGGTCTGAGTACAGCTAAGGAGGAGTAGAGAGTCTGATATGTAGACCTCAGAGTGTCTAAAATCCAGAGGCTGAGCTGAGAAGTTTCAATCTAGTCAGAAAGAAAGTGAAGGACTTAATCAATGAAGCAGAGTGACTGTTAGGAGGAAAATAACCCCCAAAACCAAAAAACCAAAAAATAAAACCCAAACTCCATATTTTTGAGAAGGAAAGAAAAGCCAACTTTGTTGAATGTTCATGAGAGGTCAAGAATAATATAACAGAGACAAAACAGGTTTTTTTTTTTCCATTTTATTTTGTTATC